AAAAAAAAAAAAAGAAAGAAAGAAAGAAAGAAAAAGAGCAAAGAGGGAATCGAAAAAAGTGAACGTGTCGATTAAAATACGAGATTTCGAGAACTTACGATTATACTCGATATATAATATATATTTTCTTTTTTTTTGTTAGATTAGGAAAGCGCTTCATTGCTTAAGTCAAAGAATTATCGGTAGCAATACGCTTGTTCAGGGTGCTCTGCCAGCTATTTTGAAGAACACGCCACAGGAATTTTACGATGATGTTATGAGAACGTTATATGTAAGTTATTGTATTTTACCATTCTTTAAAAATTTGAATAGAAAATTAACATATAATGAATTATAATAGAAGAATAATAGAAGAAATTAATAATTAAAATTGCCATATCTAATTTCAGAATCATTCGAAATTGGCGTACGATTATACGATTAAGATTCCTGGACTGAAACCAATAATGCCCAACGGTGCAATGTACATGATGGTAAATCTTCTAAATTTTATCTATCGATATTTCGCGATTTTTCGATATACGATATACGATTCGTGAATTGTGAAAAACATCCTAATATATATATATATATATATAAAAAATGCGAAAGTTACGAGGCAAAATACTTTTGCAAAGTTGTAAAACGTTTTATCGTAAATTGCTTGCGATTTACCGTTAAACTGGATTGCAAGATGGGTTCGATCGAACTTGCATTCGTGTAAATATTTCGCGTAATTAGTCGAAAATCAGACGTGATTTAAACGTAAAGATAAACAGGAAATGTTAAAGGTGGTCGATCGCAATTTATCGACTATAAATTATTCTATCGATTCCCCAGGTTTACATAGATTTACCTTGTTTTCCGGAATTTAATTCCGACCTCGAATTCGTGCAGCGATTGCTAATGGAGGAGTCCGTGTTTTGTCTTCCTGGCCAGGTACGCCATTCAATTTGACATTTTCGCCGATTACACGCACGCTTCTTTTCTTCCTTCTTTTCACAGTGCTTTGATTATCCATCCTACATGCGACTGGTCATCACAATTCCCATGGAAATGTTGGAGGAAGCTTGTCAAAGAATTCAGGAATTTTGCGAGAGGCATCACTATAAAACAGCCAAAGATACGCAAATAAATAATCTAATTGCTACGTATTGAAGTGCAAATATTATTTTTTTATGCTTTTTTTTATTATTTATATTATAGAAAAAGCGATTTTGTTAGATAATCTATTTTATAATAAAATTATTTTTGTAAAACACACGCAAAAGAAATAATTCCGTATCCTATAAAATAAAAGCAAAAAGTGTGATTAACAACAATCAAAATTTGAAATTATGTGAATTAAATATATGATAATTTTAATTCATAAAATTTTAACTGAATAATTATCAGTCATAAATTACACATATCGCAATGCAAAAAGTACAATTTAAATAACCGATTTATACAGACTGAGTGTTTATCGTAAAAATTAAAAGTTGAAAAAAATATCGGATTATGTCTCTTTCGAAAGCAAATTTAATCCGATACCTCACTCTGTATAAATGTCTCCCTACATGTTCCACTACCTATATTTATACACAATTATATCACAGCATCCGTGACTTTTTAACGTATATCAATGTATTTCATTAACTTACACGTTATAATTACTAATTCTACACGCGTAACTTCGGATGAGCTTTGTACCAACATTTATCTATACAAGCCGATGATCTAATTAATTTCCATTTCGCGCTTGTGCACGTTAAACTTTGCCTCGATAGTGTGTTGTTAAACACACGAATTCTGGTTAATTCCACGACAAAATGTTTCCGCTGCAAATACAATTGCCATGTTAAACAATCGTGTCAAGCGTCCTGTCTTATCCATAATAATGGACAAGTTATACGAATTTGATTATTCTTTTATCTTTTTCCTATTTTTTATACGATGATACGTAATTGTAAATTTACTTATCTAAAAATAAAATTGAGATTTTGTTTTTATTAATTAATTTTTATCGAACAAGTTCTCCATAATTTTTATATAACGAGAAAATAATTAGAAATTTCAATTTCCTGATCATTTTAACATGTTGGATTATATAGTATATTGAATTTTTATTAAAATTCTCGTTATATAAACTTATGGAATTTAAGTTGAAATTTATGAACATAAATGAAACGAGAATAAAAAATGAGATGTAATTTTATTTTCGAAATATAATTTGCTTTGTATATGTTTCCTATTCATGATATAAATACTTGAAATTTAAACTTTTTCCTATAAAACACAAACTGTCATCATGGCATCCATATTGAAAATTTTTTCCCGTTTAAACTAATCTCAATCATCGGTTGATATTATTTATTTCCGTAAAAAAACAAAAAAAAAATGAAATCTTTAAGATAAATTTAGAATTAGAATGTAAAAAATTAAATTATAATCGTATCAAAATAAAACAATAATCTAGATCAAATTCTATTTTAGAAGTTCGTAATAGGAACTAGCACTAATTTTAATAATATAATATACGAATAAGAAAAAAGTATAAATTTTTCTTAAAGAATTATCAATAAATAATCAAACAAACGTTTATCAATGAAATAGCATAAAGAAAACTAAACGAATAACTTTTGTCAAATAAATATTAATTAACAGTAGATTATTCGCACACCCGAAGCGAAACGTCTGTTACAACGGTATGACACGTAGCGATTTCGATGTATCAAATTACAAATTGGAGAGGGGATATGGTCAACAATTCGACAAGTCGGAATATGTCGAACGTGACACAAACACGAATTTCCTGAAAAGATTGTATTATAAGAAATGTTTTCGGTCTTGAGACTTCGAGCGTAAAATCAAAACAAATGTAAGAAATAACAAACAACACACGAATTGAATATATGGATAGATTTAGAGGGAAAAAATTACATATAAGAGAAATGAATGAATATGAAACGTATATTGTATGTGAATTAATTGTAATGTTTATTTTTATCTTTTCTATCTTTCTTTTTTATTTTTATAATAACTACTATTAAAGTTTCTATTAAAATAAATAAAATCTTACCACATTTGCGTGAAAGTCGTCTTTTAATTATTACGATGTGTAGAAACGGTTATATTTTCAAAGCCACTTCATCTTCAAAGCTTGAATCAAACGATAATCTGCACAAAGATGTTCAATTCGGATATAATAATGATTAAACGAACATGCATTAATTAAAAAAATTTAATAATAGTATAATAACCGTATTAGTATAATATTCTATCAAAAATTTTACATAATTACACACTTTTACCGGTGAAATACAACCTGTCACTATGATTCTCAACTGTAGACTGACGCCATGCGCAATATGCTGCGCACTGATTCGTTTTATTGCTGGGCCTTAGCGTTTTTCTGATTGGCTGCAGTAGTTTTCTATTCATTTCATTCGCGCGAAAATTGAAATATAATAAATTATATTTCAACTGTAGATTTCTACATATCAAAATCTTAAACACACTGTCTATTAAAAATATAATGAGAATAGATTATTTAACAATTATTTAACAATTTATTTTACAATTAATATACAATTAATATAATGTAAAGAAAAAAAAATAAAATTAAGAAAAAAATTTATAATTAAAATTGAAAAATAATTTAGATTATGAAGGAAAAGCGATATTGCTTGATTTTGCGATATTGAATAATTTATATATATATGCGTGCATTATTTCCACCATAGATTATTTAGAATTAATTGATTAGATTATTTAGAAATAATATATACATTGGTCTGGGAAATCAATTTGTATGTAATTGCCTATCCAATCTTCTTAATTGAAGAATCCTCTGCGAGGTAGGAAACATAGATATTTAGAATAGGCTGACATAGCCTTGATAAAGAGATGCATACTATGGAATGTGTCTTTCGGTTTGCTGCACATCAATTCATATTGCAAGCATAAATATGCATTGACTTAAAATTGAAATGGTACAAGGTTATGATTCCTCGTGAAATTCTGCGATTCATTCTAGAATTTGTTGAAGACCGTTTTGAATTTTGAAAATCAAAGATGAAATTTAGATGAAACGTAGTTCCATTCGAATCGTGAAATAATAGAAGACGGAAAATATCGAACTATAGCGAGATATTTTTGTGAAAAGAACTGAGAGAACAAGAGATCACGTATAGAATGATGTTTAAAAATATGCAGGACGTGAATGCATTATCATGCTCCCTCCATGATTACATCGGATGCTTATAGCTATCATTCGAAACATCTGTTGTAGTCAGGTTCATAGCAGAGAGAATGGCCCACTCTTGCATTTTAACGTACAATGATTTTTTTATAAGTTGTCTAAGTCTGTCGTAACGTGAAAATTTAAAAAAAAGTATTATAACAAAATAATCGTTTCGTACTCTTTTAAGTAAAGATTTTAGTCATCACGTTGAAAACTGAATAGACATAAAATTTTCATAAAATTATCGACATAGGAAGATGAATGGAATATCGTTATAATTATTACTTCTTTGATTTATTATTATTTAATAATTACGTTGGGATATTCGTATATTTGTTGAATTTTTCATTGCAGCTCGACTAAAAATACGTATATATCTTCCTTCGGATAATTTATCGAAAATTATTTCAAATATTCTTCCGAATAAAATCAATTTAAATATAATAATATATGTTACGTACAGAGAATAAATATATAATATATATCGATACTCTTATTTCTGTAGCGCAATTATTCATAAAATTTCTTATCAATAGGAAATTAACATTAATCGTGAATCGGAAATAATTCAAGAACGCAAAAATGTGCCGAGGAAAGAAGCTAATTCATCGAGCAAATATATCATGCAAAATGTAACTCGGCACACTTTCACCATGTCGTACAATTTCTCGCAAAAGTAACTGTCGTTTTAGATTTACGATACGCGATGCATGTTGTTATAAAATCGATTCCTTCGTTTTTTTTCCTCTCATATATCATCCAACCGACTTCAATGCATCCTTCACCTGGTGATTTCTCTCTTGGATTGTCGCGATTGACAAAGAACATCTTGGAAAAGTGGTTACGTGGAAGGCATCGATGCTCGTACGAGCGTTAGTTATTAATCGATGGACGGGCACGAGTGAGATTTAACAGATTCGGAGTGCATACGAATTCGGATGTGAGTCGAAATGGAATTCGACAGGGTTCTGTAAGGAAATTCTCAGCGTCGTTCAGAGCGCTACATGGAATCTCACATAATTGCGGCGCGAGGATAATCCGTTTGAGATGAAAACCGATAATTCGATATGTAATGTGAAACTACTTGGACACGAATGCAATTCGTGATTAATAATTTCGAAGGTGGCACGACCGATGCGACCTCTCCCGTAATTGCATTCCGCGGCACCGCACTCTGACTTTCCCACGATTCATGAAGTTTCTTCGATGAAATCGATGCAGAATATCGAAATGCACATCGAGATTTAATTTCAAATAAATCCTTCTTGACTTGAAACGTATTTACTTTTTTAAAGAATTTCGTCTTAGTAGTAGGGTTCTTTGATCGTAGATTCTTAAATGATCGAATCAAAAAAAAAAAAACTCTGTCGAATTTTCCAATTTATAAACATATTTTTCTGATGATCAACAGAATCGTTATTGAATATTTTTAAGTAATTAGAATTTTAGATTTAAGTACCTGAAATCCTGAAAAAAAGAACATTGTAATCGATCGTCATCGTTGAGACGCGTTATTTCTGCCTCGAAAATATAACAAAAATTCGAAGATTCTCCCCAAGTATGGCAAATGCTACACATGAATATATACCAACTGGCAGTAACATTCAGTTTGCGATTTGAATCAGAATTGCGGAACTTTGGCACGACACTTACACGTGTGCAACTTATTTGTGAATACGTTTTGTAAACTCGATTCGTAAGAACGTCGACGTTTCTGTCGAATTGATTTTCATTGTTTCCATAAATATACGTGATTTTTACGAAGAGTAGTATCATTCGCGAGATTTCACGCGTTTCGTAATTAATCAAAGTAACAGTAAGAAATTGAATTTACTTTCTCATTGTTCCATGATATTAATATTCTATAATGAATCGTACAATTATATTTTGCGTGAAATCAGGATAAACATTGAAAAAATAAAATCATTTTATTGAAATCGTTTGACAAACGATTTTTTAAAATAAAGATTTATATTTTGATTTTGCATTTTCAATGTTTATCGATTCATCGTCCGTGGTATATTTCTCTGGCATATGTCACGGATTTGTATGCTTTCAAATTTTGCAATTTCGTCAATTTCTATAGGAATATTGGATGTTTCACCCTTCGATCGGTATTGCAAAAGCCATTGCGGTCGTCGCCTATTATTCCACGGCTAGTTCATTTGTTGAACCGAAACAACTCCGTTCTCACCGGACAAATATTCACCAAACTTGATATCGACGTGGTACTGATAAAGCATCGCTATCGCAAAAATTCGTCGACCGAATCCAATTTAGATCACGGTCGAATCGTTTTGCAAGGAATCTTCCATGTTCCATTCGTGTAAAATATTGCTCGTTCAACTTTTATCGAAATTCCGAAAACGATTACGCCAATCTTGTATATCACGTTTGTGATTCTATCCAATGTTTAAAGATCCCTTTCTTTTTTCACGACAAAATGAAAAAAACATTCATTCAAATTAAATGGATGAATAATTTTTACGTTAGTTTTATTTGCTTTCGTTGTTTGAATGAAAAGGTTTTTAAATTACTATTAGAAGTAATTCATTCACGGTTAAAATTATCACATATTCTTAGATCTAAATTCAAATCTTCGTATCAAAGTTCATTTCCTCACAAAGGAAGAGGTAGAGACATCTCGAATAATATTTTTTTCTTCCAAGCTGGATTCAACGGACTTCCTCTTTTTTACTCTCGTAATAACCAGTGTTTCCCATGTGCACACGTTAAAACGCTCTTGATCTTCAAAGCCAGGGACAACCCTTTTACACGCAGACGGAGACCGTCAAGTGGATGAGGTTGCAATATTCAGATGCTGTTGGAGTGGATTTTCTCATCCAAGGCGAATGCCTCGACTTAAAGCAGTCAAGATCACCGTAGAATATTTGGTCTATACCGGCGTAGCACTATCAAGGAATAACTGGCTTTGCAATTGTCATTCTTAAGCACCAGGAGATATAATTAGGAGAACAGTACAACTTCTTGGGCTGTTATGATCTCGGGCAAAATCGAGGCTTTAATAAAAAACACACTACGTTTATTTTTATTCGTTTCTTTTTTATCCTTTTTTATAGAAATATATTAATTCTTTAAAACGATAAATTGTCAACGTCATATAATGTGAAAATATAGATTAATAATTAATTTCAACATTTTATATTTAATTATTATTGTATAATATAATTAATATAAACAATAATTATTTATTATATTATTTATTTTATTATATTTTATATTTTATAATTA